GTTAATAATCATGTCATCAGACGCTAGTAGTGAAAAAAATACTATAAGATACACGTGTATAATTGGTCTTTAAAGCACTTGCAACGTTAAAGGCACTCCGCTTTGCGTCGTGCCATTAAACTCGTTGCGCGTGCTTTAAAGACTTGATTATACACTTGTATCTTAATATACTATAAACAATGATACTACCATTATAGGAAGTGAAAATCTATTTCGGCCCCTACCGAATGCTTATAAATGATTGATGATTGTATTTCCTGCAATTTAAAAGTGGGTATCATATCAATGTCATTTATTTAAGACCAGGGTGGACTAACGTATTGGATAAGTAAACAATAATCATAATTTAAAAGAATATTATTTTATCGTGCACTATTTTACTTCTTATCAATGATTCATGTTTAAGACACAGTTGCCCTCCTCGTTCATGTTATCGAATACTTTGTTCAAACATGCATGAGCTTTTCTTTCTTGTATTGCTATTCTGTAAGCTTTAACGATAGTTTTTCGAACTCTTCAATAACTACATCTCTTGTAAAATATAACAAGTTAAAAAAGTAATCGTAAACGATTTACATAAAATAAAGCGCATTTCCATTCGCATTCATTTCCCATTTGTAAGATGCAACTTCTGATAAAATCGTAAAAATTCGACCACAAATATGAAAGATAGCGGTGCATAGGTGCTATCCATTTTTAACGTTAGTTTCAAAATTTAGATTTGCGCATGCGCAGTTCCAACATTCTTATTTATGAAAGCATTGAAATGAAATTCTTCTTATAAACTGAAATTGAAGTGGCACGTCAAAAATGGATTGCAAGTATGCAACGCTATCTTTCATATTTGTGGCCGGATTTTTACGATTTTAACAGGAGTTGTATCTTACAAATGGGAAATGAATGCAAGTGGAAATGAATGCGCTTTTTGTAAATCGTTTACGATAACTTTTTTAACTTGTTGTCTTTTATCTCATTCCGTAAAAATCGAATATGGCCCCATAAGAAATAAGAAAGTAGTGGCCTGTAGCTGCTACATCTAGCGTGGTATGAAAATTGTGGTAACAGATTCAGATTCTCCGAAAAAAAGTGCTAACGGTAATCGCCAATCTTCGACCGTTTAAGTTAGGGAAAATGAAAAAAAAATTTCAAATTTCAGTTTTTCGCTGATATCTCTGTTATTTCCAAAGATTTTTCAAAAATTTCAAAAACCATTTTTTTAATCACAAAAAGGGGCAACTTTTTCCCAATGTAACCTACACTGTATCGCTCACCGCCGTTACGGAGATCCCGATGGTGAGCCACGAATGTGAACCACCCTGAACATGTTTATAAAAAAATCAAAAAGTTCAGAATCAATGCGAATTCAGTTTGTGGTCGATGTCATGTCAGAGAACACGGAGGACAATGACAAACCGTAATAAATACGAAAAAATTTGCCGTGCCCAGCACAGATACCACCAACAGACTTGCGCATGCGCGATTCTCCTCACAAGCGTTTCAGTTCTTTCTTTTATGTCTAAGAATGTGCGTACCAAATTTGGTTCCAATCGATTTAGCCGGAAATAAGAGTACAGACAGACATACATCGAAATCTTGTTTGATTGGGATTTCTGGTACTTCAAAACGTATTTCCGTAAAAAAAGTGCGGGAGGTGAGGGGGATAATTTTGTATCCCAATGCAATACCTCCCTTTTATTTTACTAATAGGCGGGTGATAAAAATGTATAGAATATTAATTGTAAACGACTAAATTTTCTACAAAATAGTCCGGATATACGTTTATATACTCAATAACAGGACAATATTCCAAAAAATTGCAAAATCAGAAGTACATGCGAGTAGTAAAAAAAACACTTCAAGATATTAATAAAGAAAATAAATTATCTCTAATGATTGCAACCCAAACCTTCATGAAAAACGTCTACTGGCGCGGATAAGTCATTAAATAATGAGCAGATTAAATGCACTGGAGATCTCTGAAGCACATTGGTCTTACATCTTGGTAGGTAAAATGGTGCTGGGCATCTTGAGGACAAACGTTTCCTGAATGCACGAAAATAACCCCACTCACTTAATTGGTTATTATTAAAAAAACGGTTGAAGATAGGCATATGTCCTTGCGGACTTTTTCGTAGAAAATTTTGAACTCTACAATTCATATTATATACATATATTTATTTATTTATGCCGATTTTCCCGGAGTTTTGAAATAAATGCGCCGGATCGCACTGAAGGCACAGAATTAAGAAAACTATCATTCGAACATAAATAAACCCATAAAGCGGATCTAAAAAAGCGGCAGAGCACTTCGGTGTGACCCTACGGAGTCAATGGATTTGGCCCATTTTCAATAGGCTTGTAACCCCCCCCCCATGTCTTAGTAAATAACTGAGATATTTTAAAAATTCAAATCCGTTTCGGTATTCGAAGGGAATCACAATGACATAGTTGTGACGCACCCCCTCCAACCCCTGACCCAGCCACCCCAACTTTTAAAATCTTATATAGTAACCCCACCCCCCCCCCCCATGTGTATACGGTCTGGGACTCTGCTCTGAAAAAATGCTTTCCAACATACCATAGCATAACATTTAGGTAGTAATTATCGTGCAAATCAAAAAAATAATACTACTATGATACGTGAAATCTACTCGTATTTAAAACGCAACCGGCGAACATAGACGAACTAAACATGAGAAAATTCAAAATATCGAATATTGCAAGACCAACATTTGAAAAGGGTTCGGCAAGAGTTTGAGAATATATTATACTACCAATAACGAAAACCATTTTGAACATGTATTGAAAATAAAATCCAACTTTTATAAATGTATTCCCCCACCGAATTACTGAAACGGATTTTGAATTTTTATAAATCTCATTTATACCCGGACTATAGACTACAGTCCCGGGAGTCACCCTGTATATCAAACGGCAGAGCAACTCAAACAATTTCTGATTTTTTACCTACAAATGTTTAATGTGCACGTGGAGGCCATGCGAAACGGCCATTATCCAATCTAGCACTCTCTAACCAAACGGAAGACAGCAAACAATGTTGGTGTATGGGTGCATAACCAAATTGTTCGAGTTGTTTTTTTTCGTTTGATGTATAATTTTCAATTTGGAGCCAAAAAATAAAAATATTGCGAAACCTTGCAGAAACCCCGATATTCAATTAGGAACACCCGGTCTAATTTACAGGTATGCTTAGATCGTCGTTGTTGTGATTGGTGTCATAACACAAATGTTACAGATTATGTCCTTTTGATGTCGATAGAAAGTGGATGTTACTGCGGGATTAATGAAATAATGTGTACGACTTTTTGCTAATTACCTAAATCTTTTGGTGGCAGACTGTTAATTTTGGATGAATTCGTAAAATTCGCTTACTACGTAGATACTTCATTAAATTTAAATGAACGTAAATTTAGTTATATTTCTTGGTTGGAAATACATGTGTATTTAAAAAATCACACTTGAATTGCATTTCGAAATTGATACTGGTGAAGGTTTATTATTTTCTTTTACTGGCTTAATTTAATTACCTACACTGAAGAGGTGCTGCCGTGCGTGCATCCGTTATCAGTATAAATGTGTACATATCTGTGTACACACATAACTGGGATTAAATATAATTCAGTTTGCTGTGGAATGGAAGCTTTTGAAAATTGGAATTACCATCCAAACTATAAAATAAAAATTACAACTTAAAACTCGCAGCAAATGTCCAAGCGCACAGTTTGTTGGCTAACATTAACGAAGGTTGTCTATATATTACTTATTTTTCATACAGTCAAACTTTGTTCACTCTTTGATTATACATAATTTAATATCGATTGACATATATTGCTGTTTAGAATATTATTATGGTTCAGCTATGTAAAATATATTGCCTAGAACCGTTTACTCATAATGCAGGTTCAATAGATGAGTAATTTGTTTCCATGTCCGTCACGTCTAGTTTGAGATCTCAGCACCCATGCCTCGTAGAAGCCTGCGATTTTTTGCACTTAATAAGGTTCAACACGTAGAATGAGTAGAATGTCGAGCACGCTTCCGTTTCTGCGCAAGCGCATCCCAACTTTGTTATTTATTAAAATATGTCAAACCACAAATACTAATAAAAGTTAATGTAATGGATTCGCGCATGTGCAGAATTAACTTTCTCATTTTTGGACCGATTTTTATCAGATTTTGATTATGTCCTTCTGATAAAAGCAATTAAACATGTGCTCGTCAAAACAAATGGAAATTATTGAGCAGATGCTTCTATCGGTAGGGTCAAGAGCTCTAATTCGAATATGTCGATAACGGAGAGTCGGAAGCCGGTGCGGAAAGATGATAGGTCTTTTTGAGACGTATCAATTCGACCAGATAGTGTTATTCGTGATCTAGATATGATGCGTTTGGAAAATAGGGTGAGGGTGGTGGGTTTCTCAGAAAGAGAAAATTGAAGGTCTTGACAAAACGCATATCTGTGGTGAGTGGCGGAAGTCAGCACTCACAAGAGAAAGTGCTTTGTACCCCTGAGACGGATCCAAAGTTGCCACATTTGACCTGATCGTATCACTAGCAACAGAGATTATGTCTGTTGGCTCCACAGCGTACTCACAAAGTGAAGATAAAGGTTCTTGATCTGGTCACATTTTTTTATTTATTTATTATTTATTTATTTCACTCACCAATAGGTAATACTTATCTATAGTTTACGTGTAGACGTAAGCATTTAACTCGTTATTTCTTAAACAAACTCGACAAATATAGAAAAGTATGCAGAATTTGAAAATAAATTTGGTTTCTGAAAATTTTCTTTCGTTTCGATAACACAAAAATTAAATATTGGTATCTAGGTTAACCGATTTGTTATACGTATCTTACTCGCATCTTACAAATCATATTCGATTAAATCGTTCAAAATTATGCATGGATATATTTAATGTCCTTTTTAAGTACTTTACCGTTACACAAATTTTAATATTGAATTGTCTTCGTTTCAGGTGCGAACGTTGTTTGTGAGTGGGTTACCAATGGACGCCAAACCTCGAGAACTGTATCTATTATTTAGGGCTTATGAGGTAAGTTGAAACTCGAATAAATTATAAAATTCCTTTATTTAAATGTGCACCCCTCCTTGTTTTAATTTTGAAGTATTTAATTAGTTTGAAAACGCAGTTTAAAAGTTTCACCGTTCAGGTCTTTTTGTTTTTCCTTTTGTCTGTGGATTCTTAGCGCAATTTTAAATAGCCCTAGAGAGTGCTTCCAGAGTGCGGAGAATAAGGTTCTTAACGCAAAGATTGTCTTATGAATGGTGATATGTGAAATTCTATTCGCTTACAATGCGGTTTGATAATGCTATTAATAATACTAATAAAGTAAGTAAGTAATAGTAGTTTGGAGAAGTCAAAATTATAACAAGATGCTTCTGTTTGCACAGAACAGTCTGAGGAAATATTGAATTGTTGACAATCTTGTTCTTGATGTTCAGCGTATAAACACGTTATTGATCGGAAGCCAAACCTTGTATAATTGCGAATTGCAATTATGAACCGAAATCCGTAGTAAAGACCTAGGGTTATTATTTACTTGTAAAAGACAATTAGAAACCTGATACGAAAATGTTGTTTTCACTAAGCACCACTAAGGCACTATTATGACTTTCCTACCTTACTGGGATATGTTCTGAGACGTTAACTTACGTCAAATATCGTATTGAAGAACTGTTCGACAATTTTGTTCTTAAATTTATAAAGAATGGACTCAGGAAATTTGTAAAATTTTTATCACTTTCATTCATGGCAGCGAAAGTTAAAATATGTAAAAACGGCTAAATTTTCGTATATAACATACATGAAATGTACATACAATTTTGATTAGAATCTACAAATGAAATACCTAATATATAGGGTGTTCCATTTAAAAAGGATGTTGGCATCAACTTCCGGTATATCCGAAATTTTATAGAAATAACTGCTCTAAGCGTTGTAGCATTGGAAGAAAAAGATGTAGAAGTTTAATCTCATCTTTTATGAAAAGTCACCAAACAGTCTTACGGAATACGGCACGGGTCTTTAATTTTGCTTTGTGTCAGTAACTTTGGGGAACGTTTTTCATAAACGAAAAACTCTGCACCCGTGGTTCATCTCCAAAAGAGACGCGTATGATACTGCTTTCTCGGGATATTTCCTAAAAGGTACGTTTCAATCAGACCTTCCACTTTTTCTTTTTGACTATCTTCTTCTTACATCTCGTTCTCGATTTTGATCCCACTGACTTATACGTCTCCTCCCGTTTTTCCAATTTCCTTTTTGAAATACGTAATAAGATAGGAAGGTCCCTATGAGAAGGCACTTTGGCATGTCAAATTTCGTTTTAATTTTCCCTAGCTTAGAAGATCGGAAATGGACGGTTTCCGGTAGCATCTTTTTCTAATTTCTATTGAACCAAAATATTTTTACTCAAAAGTCAAAAGTCATTTGCATTTCTCTCACATTCCAATCTAGATTCATACTGACACCGACACTGTCGCCTCCCGGTAATAACCGGGAGTCTTCTACAATTTCCGCACAATCTACCGCCACTCCACTTTTACGTTCTTTCTCTATTGAGGAACTCTTATTATATTAACATAATAAGAAAATCATATAATTAGACACAAAATTTCAAAAAGAAACACCATCAAGTCATTGGCAGTACCTACCACTAGTCTGTAAAAATCAGCTTCATTCATCGAACCGTTACCTAGTTATATCCGTAGAAAGTTCGTTAAAAACCGACTACGAATGGTTTTTTACGGAGTTATCATATCTTCGCGATTTTTTTAAATATTCTTTTTAAGAACTATTATCAACGTTTTCACTTGGTGTATTACTTATTTTCTCAAAAAAACAACCATTTAAAATTGGTACCGCTGCGCCTTAAGTCGTATGACCTGAGGCGACAGACGATCGATTTTAGCATACTCGGAAAGGTCACTTCATCGGTTTAAATTTTGATCACTCTCGTTCAGATTTCGAGCTAGCTCCCCTACTATTATTGTTTATACAGCGCAGTTTTTAACCATTCTTGGAAGTAGTCAGAATAATAATTTTTATTTTGTGCTTGTTTAATTGCGCAGCTTCGAGACGATATATTATTATTGATCCATTGATATAAGTGACCTTTTGTATATATTTTTAATGACAGTACTATGCAAAGTTAGGTTATATAAAAATAACAGCTGTTCAGATTTTAGTTGTCAGTTTTTTAAGTTGACAGCAAATTTTGCCCAAAAATGGCGGATGATGGCGGTACTGTCTATATCTTGGGACTTTAGCTTTAGTGACTCTATACAAGACAGTGGCGACAGTGGCGACAATAGCTGTCTCATTTTTGATTGGCTGCTGAATCACGTGGTACGCGGCAGTTATTAAGGATTCTCAGGTCCTTTATAGTTTTGTATTGTCGTCCGTACGTCCGTGTGCGCTCTAATTCTTTTTAAAAGTAGCCGATTATATTGAAATTTGGTGTACCGGTACTTTGGACATTAAGGACGGACGCTATTGATTTTCAGGAAGCTGGTTCAACAGGAACAAAAGTTATAGGACTTCGAGTGAATCGGGAACAGGAAAAACTGCGGGTTCAATATAATAGAAATCAACATATTTCATTTCCTAGGTCATGTATCGAGTTCGGACTTTCGCTAGATTATTCCCTATAACTCTTAGATGTGTAATAATTCAATATAACTCTTCTGTGTGGTCTAGGTCGCGAGTTTTAGAGTAAAATGTAGCCAAAATTATACTTTATGCATGAGTTTTAAAAGGTTTCAAACGCATTATCTTGATGCTGAAACAGTCCATCACGTGCACATTTGATAACCGCATGTGTGTGATTCAAAGTTTCTGAGGCCACATGGATTTTGATCAATTTAAGTCAAAATGGTTATTTATGCACCAAGATCGTTGAGAAAAAGTCTAGGGGCATTGTCTCAACGTTCAAGACATAAATTTGATGCATTTCTGGCGACCACATGGATTTTGATCAAAGCATGTCAAAATCGTAATATGTAAGCGTGTAAAGCGATGGGGTATACAAGAGGGAATATTGATTTATGAAAAAAATTTTTTCTTCATGATATTTTTTGCTTGCTTTGAAAGTACCAATAACGTTTCGATTGTTTGTGGTTTGATAGCAATACGCTATCTTGATTATAATGTAGAATGATAACTTTCAATAAAAAAAATTAATTTTATTATTTTTCCAGATTTCTATAAATAAATTTTAGATTATCGAAACGTTATTGGTACTTTCAAAGCAAGCAAAAGATCATGAAGAATAAATTTTTTTCATAAATCAATATTTAAAAAAATCCCTCTTGTATACCTCATCGCTTTACACACTGTACATATATGCACCAAGATCGTTGGGAAAAAGACCAACAGCATTATCTCAATGACCAAAACATGAATTTGATCTATTTTTGGGGACCATATGAATTTTGATTTAAACATGGCAAAATCGTTATTTATGCACCAAGAACGATGCGAAAAAGACCAAGAGCATTATCTCAATGATGAAAATATTAATTTGATCTATTTTTGGATTTTGATCAAAACATGTGAAAATCGTTATTTGTACACCAAGATCATTGGGAACAAGATTAAGAGCATTATCTCAATGCCCAATAATGAATTTGATGTAAGTATTTTGTACGATTAAAATAAATTATCGTTAAAAGTGATTGTACTACTGAGCATCCTTCGATATTTCGTTGTATCGGTTTATTTTGGTAAAATTTTACTTATTTGACCGCCACTCTTAGCGTTAAGCCATGGGACCTCGCTGGCAGACGTGACGATTTCTATTTAGCTTTGACTTCTGTAAATGTTACATTGGCATGTTAAGGCGGCGTTTGCACGCCATGGTGTTAGAAAAGCAAAGTAAGAAGTATTTTTGAAATATTCGCAGGTTTGTGCTGCCATCCAGAATCCGCGATCCCTATTTGTACTACGTTAGGTCGCTAACACTCGCATACATTCGTGTATGTTTGAGTTGAGATAAAATTATGGTTATGTTGCGCTAATAAGCCCCCCAGGTATGATCATGAAATTGATAGAAATAGAGGATAGAGGAGAATAGAGGACACCTTAATTACACGTTATCAGTTAAAAGATTTGCGGAAGAAGCCTTACATTTTCCACAATCTTCATTCATAGTTCACTTCATTTCGTCGTAAGTGAGGTTATATTATTCAAATTACATTGTTGATTTTAAGTTGGTTATAGTGTTCCTAAAATTCCTCAGTGCCAACTTTAATTTCTTAAGAGGTTATGTTATTTTTTCACGATATAATAAACATTAAATAATGATGTACAAGTATTATACATGTGTTTTTAATTATATCATAATAGTAGTAAGCAGTTCCCTACATGTTTTACTTAATTCATGTTTATGTTTCAATCCCATTGATTTGGAAATAACACAAGGGTGTCACGTTGAAGTGAGATTGACAATATTATCATGAAAAATGCGAGAGATGTTCCTTCCCCTCTCGACCGTAGTAGGCGGTGGATGCTAAGCGGCGATTGATACGAAATAGTACATTATATATCAAGGTAGAGAAGTCCACTATTATTGCCTGAGCACCAAGATTACATCTCGAGGCGCTTGCGCCGAGGGGTGTAAGGTGCGAAGGCAATAATAGACTTCTCTACCGTGGTATATATACTATTTTTTTCACTACTAGCACTTAAAATCCTCTAAATTAACATATTATATTGATAAGAGAGTTAACGGTTGGACAGAATTGTTTGTTTCTTAATTTAAACATGTCAATCAAGTACGTGGAAGTACAAGTCAAACAGGCCGTATTTTGATCTGTCATTGAGATTTTTCAAAGAGTAATTTCGTTCGAATTTTTTCAAAATGTGATAATTTTAGGTATGTAATTTCTCTGGAAATTGCGAATGGTGGCAATTATTCGTTTTAGAGAACTTGTCTAAACGTTCATTGAGCGAAATTTCGGGTTGCGTTTTCTAAAAGTGACAGCGTGACAGTTCTCATTATTGACTACTAGTTAATAATAAAAAATTATTAA